TGCATGGATACATGGCTGCATGGATACATGGCTGCATGGATACATGGCTACATGGATACATGGCTGCATAGATGCATGGCTGCATAGATGCATGGATACATGGCTACATGGATACATGGCTGCATTGATACATGGCTGCATGGATGCATGGCTGCATGCCTGCATAGATGCATGGCTGCATGGATGCATGGCTGCATAGCTGCATGGATGCATGCCTGCATAGATGCATGGACGCATGGCTGCATAGATGCATGGACGCATGGCTGCATAGACRCATGGCTGCATGGATGCATGGACGCATGGCTGCATGGATGCATGGACGCATGGCTGCATAGACGCATGGCTGCATGGATGCATGGACGCATTGATGCATGGATGGCAGTGTTGGGTGGATGTTCCATCCACCACTGAAAAATCTTAGCTATTAAAAGGGTTTTTATTTCTGTTTTTTAGTGAAATGTTTTACCAACTGTTGGAGGAGGAAATGAGCTACACACATTCATGTTCTCCTTAGGAGGAATTGTAATGATGCGCCATCATCAGGCCATAATGTCAGCTTGTCCAATCACGTTTAAGACTAATATCTGCAAAACTAATGAGCGAATAATGTCAGCCTCTGCTGCACTTTGTGTTTAATGGTAATTTCAAGATGCTAGCATGCTAAAATTCTAAACTGAGATGGTAAACACTGATACCTGCTAAACATCAGTTAGCATTGTCATTGTAAGCATAATAGCATTTAGCTCAAAGCACTGCTGTGCCAAAGCTTCACCGAGCCACTGCATGGTCAGTGACTTAAACAATTGATTATTCAAATTGTCAGTTGTTAATATTCTGTTGATTGACAAACTGATTCATCTAATAATCACTTAACACTTGAAAAAGTGAGAGTTTTACCAAAATGTCATGTTTTTCAAAAACGTTGTGAAACAGCTTCCTTGGATTTTTACTCATCAAAATAGGATCTTAATTAGCTCAGTTAAAGCAGAAACCAACTAATGAACGTATTGATCAGAGTGATGATCAGAGGGAGACACATTCCCTCTTTGTGCACATCAAGTATTGTGAAGGCAAAGATGAACAGCAGCACACATATTTGGATCTTACCAGAGTTCTCTGTGGAGGTGTTCTTAGTAATTTAAAGCTCGGCTGACCGCCGCGGACAACCAGTCCAACGAGGAGGAAGCCCAGTGCACAGAACGCACCCAGCAGGCTGAAGACCACGTACACTGTGAAGCAGGAGGACAGCAGCACACATCACATTAAAGAGCATCGGCTGTTTGAAAGAAATCAAATCACTAGAGGAAAGATTACTAATTCAATTAGCCTTCAATTAGCTATGCTGTTTAACAAATGAAGCACTTTCCTTTGAGAATCCTGCGTCTGTATTCTAAAGACATGAAGAGAGAGAAACAGGAGAACAGCATCGAATGGTAGAAAGGTAAGACACCTAAAATAAACCTGCATCCACAGTCGGGGGTGGAATCACTAGAGGTCCCACCATACAATACACCCATCACACTAAAACTAATACCTAAAAAAAACTAATACTTCCTATTGCGATATCAAACATTGCAATATATTGAGATTTATTACCTTTTTTCAACTGCAAATTGTGCAGTTTGTCAACATCTGATTTAGCTTCTAGTTCGGTTTAGCAAAACCATCAGAGCTTAAAATAACTAACAAACTTCAGAATCACTCCAGACTCAAACACCCGTCTCCAGATGGAAAGTCCTGTTTGTTTGTAGAAATACACTTTAACGGAGTGAACAAACATCTGATGCTATAGATCTACCGTCTTATTCTATGGTGAGAGAATAGCTCTAAGCTGTTTAGATAAAACACATCCGATGTGTAGAGTAAATCAGTCCTCCTGTTGCATTCAGTGCTGCAGGAAATATGCCCAATTCTTATCTGCACTTTTCCCACCTTGTATTGTAACTTGTTGTGTTTTGTGAAATGTTGCTGTGTTTTGACCTTTAGGGCCACCGTAGAAGTGTCCTGTTGAAACTGCATAATCAGGTATGAAACAATTAAAAAGTGAAACATGCCATTACAGCTTCAAATATGTTGTTAAAACGTGAACATGTTCTCATTACAACAACAATTTGTGCAACTTGATGTTGTGGTGATAGGCTGCATTCTTATCAACATGTTAAACACTTTGGTATTAGAAGGTCTGGACTTGAAGAAAGCTGGTGGATGGATTATGAACAGAGAAGTGTGCATCTCATCCCCCAAATACACAGATTCAAATTGCACAAAGATTGCACATGCTTGGATTAAAAGAAGACGTACGTGAGCTTCTGGACCGAGGAGGGCTGGTGAAGGCACAGCAAGGTTTACTGGAGATACAGTTCAGGCTGATGAGTGATGTCACAGAGACTGTCACACAGTACTCCACACCTGGCTCCAGGTAGGAGATGATGTTCTCCTCTTTGTAAGGCAGACTCAGACTGAACTGCAACACAACAGAAGAAACAAACGAAAAATGAATGGCTTTGAAGTTTACATGAACTACGGTATGAACTTTAACTCTTACAATCTACTGAACACTTCCTCTTTCTGAACTTCATCATTTCTCCCTGATTGTTATTGTGTTAATCCTTTGCAGTTTTAAATCATTTTGTACAGCTAGCAATACATTTGGGACAGTTTAAGGTCAAACCGAAGCTTATTGTGTTGAAACTGTGTCAAAATATATAATGTTGAATAAAAGTAATCTTAACCCAAACAGTAATATCAGAATGACAGCAGGTCAAAACAACTCATTCTACATGGTTTAATACTAACGAGTACAAACGTTATTACAGTGTTGCCCTAACGCTATTCTGACCTAGTGATGATGAAATAATTGAACAATTTAATGAACGTGTTCGTTGGTCGAGGTGGGGCTAACTGGACTCTATGGAAAATACTCTCCTCCAATCACAAGCATGCATTCGCCCTCTGAACGTTTGCATGAGCCTCGCTGGCCAAGCAGGACATGCCTCCCTGAATATGTGCACACAGCTGCGTGTTTAAGAGCACCAGCAGGTTCCAGCAGATGGGCAGCTGCCACAAACCGCTGCTGTCTGTGGTCTGACAGACGGGCCCGTAGCCTGCACTCATTGAGCATGACCCCCAGATACTCCACCTGTGTGGCAGGGGGCTGCTGCCCTTACGGTTGATCGTAAACCCTGGCTTGGTTAGCTGTAAGATCAACCAACTGTATGGAACATAGCCCATTTACCCTCATGCCTTGTTTGCGCATCGGCCTCAGCGCCGTGTCCACACGCTGAGGGCGCGGGGACCCGGGCATAGCTGAACGGCAGTCTGTGTACTCTCATAGGCTATCCCAGGAATATCCTGTGTTTCAAAGCCACCTTCACCTGAAGGTATACACCTTTAAGTCGATGGTGTTGAGCCGCTTGACGGTTGACAAACGGTACATCTTGCAGACAACAATGCACTGGTTTTGGATGGGAAGATGGGAGATCTGAAATCTCCCATCTTCTTGGAAAGCAGAAAGTAAGTCGAGTAAAAGCCTTTCTGTCATGGGGACGACACCACGCAGCCTGGTACTGTAACAGCTGCTGGATCTCTGCTGAGAGGTAGTCTACCTTCGTCTTTGAGGATAGACCGGGGGCGGCAATTATTTGTCCCAAGGGGCCACATGAGAAACAGGGACTGTTGTGGAGGGCCGGAACAATCCTGCTCTATATTATTCCATCTCTTTATAAAAAGCAGTAAATAGTTTGGTTGTGATGAGCTGTGAGTGGAGTAAATATCATGATCAGTGGTGGAACGTGACTAGTATATTTGCTTAAGTACTGTACTTATGTACAAATTCAAGGTACTTTACTGGAGTATTTCTATTTTATTTAACTTTGTACTCTTTACTCCACTACATTTGTCTGCCAGCTTTAGTTACTTTAAACATTACAATTTGTCAAACCCTTCCTAACTCCCCAAACTGAACAACAGAGTATAAAAGAGTTAAAATGAGCTCCACCGTAAACATCTGCAGCAGGAATAATAATCCAAACAAATATAAATATGTAATATCCATATATAATAGTACAACACTGACGGGGATCATGTTTCTGTTAATTAGTACTTTTATTACTATAACTATAACTATACAAATGACCTCTTTCTGTTTGTCAGCTCAGTGGAGAAATCTGGTCTGTGTTGGGCTTGAACGAGTGACTGAAGTCAGGCTGAATGTGTGAGGTGAGATGTGAAGGACAGCTGACAGCTGATGTCAGTGAGAGAGGATCTGGATCTGGATCTGTTGAACTTCATCACAGAGAACGTTTGTTCACAGATGTAGGTCGATCCAAAGAGAACCAACATCTTCTGAGCATGCCTCCTCATGTGAGAAGAATACAAATCCAGCAGTGATACTGACTAAAGTGCTCTGCAGGACTGCATCAGACTGCAGGTCAGTGAGTTGGAGCTGAACATCACTGAGCGTTACCCACACTGCAGGAAGAGAAGTGAAGGAGAAGAACTCATGTTTCACTCTCAACTGTTTGCAGTCTTGTAAACTCACCATGCAGTGCCCCTAACATGGATGAGTACCTGTGGAGGTGTTCGACTGATGGTGTGGCAACAAGTATGTTGCCGTCCGGCCCGCGGGCCACTCAATGCCCAGGTCTGGCATAGAGGATAGATTCAACTCCTTCAATCTATCCATGAACGGAGAAGGATCGCTGTAGGACTGGAGAAACCAACCGAGTCTCAGAGTCCATCCGTTCCGTTAACACGGAGTTGCGTTGCCACTCCTCGTAGAAGTGCGTTAGAAGACAAATGAGCAGCTGTGGGAACTTGATCTCCTGCCTCAGACCTCACCGCTGCTGCAGCACCTTTGCACTGAGACATCAGCTGCTACAGCAGGTAGACAACAGTCTGTATCTTTAAACAGCCTCGGCACACTCCACACCGGCGTTGGACAAATAACAGAATGTTGTTTTGTGTTCATCGAATATTTTCTTCTTCATGAAAGAACTTCTACCACTCACTCTCTTTCAATGAAGATGCATCCATGGAGCAGCTGGCGTTAACCCTCTGACTGCCTGGAGGAACTCTGACTGACACACAAACGGACTAAAACACGCCGAAGTGCTGCGTTAAGTGATCTCAAGTAAGAGGCTTGTGTCTGGACAGAGAGGTCAATGATCAGGTGTTCATTGTAACCTTTGTTGTGTTGTGTACTTAACGGACCGCTGAATCATGTTCAATGACTGCTGAGCAGAGGATTACCCATGCAGTCCAGTAGAGGGCGGAGCCTGTGTGAGCTACAACTATCTGTTTCTTGTAATTCAATAGAAATGGTTTCAGTTAATGTAGTAAAGGGGATGCACGTTACTTCCTGTTTCAAGTACTCTATTTTACCCAAGAAAGAGCTGCCACACACCAGGTGTTAAGACAGGAAACGCAGAGCAGCTCACAGATGTGTAAACAGTAGTCGTACGTAATCTGTTATTCTATCTCCACTCATTTGAGATTTTAGTAACATGCATGCTTGCTATAAGAAATGAAAGGCTACTCATGTCACAGTTGCATACTGTCACTGAAATGGGGGCTGAGAAGATTGAATTCCTTTGGTTTCTTCTCAACAGACTGAGCGTTTCTTCGAACAGACAAATATGATCCGTTGAGAGGAAAACGTGGGTAAAACCCACATAGTTCAGACAGAACATCGGCCATCTGAGGCGACCTGAAGCCTCTAGAAGTCACGTGTTAGGCCGACATGTGTTTCACTCAATATTTGGATGGGCCTTTCATGAGTCTGTCAAAGAAGTGAAGAAGAACTGCTCGTGGGTTTGTTGTTTGGATTTCTCTGCATTTCACGCTGCGCTGAGTTTCATATCAGTTTCTCAGTTTCATATACGAGCACATGCAACCTGAAACAAACATGCAACCTGAAACAAACATGCAACCTGAAACAAACATGACAAAATGTGAGATGTGAAAATGTGATGGAAACACATTTTACACATACAGCACCTACATCTTTATGAGACTACACAGAATACACACAGTATCTGAACTTCTGCAAGTTGCGTTCTGATTACTGCTTTAGCTCTTGATATTTATTTGGGCCACCAACCAAAAACTAGATTAGCTTAAACCAATGTCGATTCTTTCTTAAAGAGAGGCTGGAGGGCCTAGGGGCCCTGCTTTAAGAGAGGCTGCAGGGCCCAGGGGCCCTGCTTTAAGAGAGGCTGGAGGGTCTAGGGGCCCTGCTTTAAGAGAGGCTGGAGGGCTCAGGGGCCCTGCTTTAAGAGAGGCTGGAGGGTCTAGGGGCCCTGCTTTAAGAGAGGCTGGAGGGCCCAAGGGCCCTGCTTTAAGAGAGGCTGGAGGGCTCAGGGGCCCTGCTTTAAGAGAGGCTGGAGGGCCCAGGGGCCCTGCTTTAAGAGAGGCTGGAGGG